ACCCACACTAATCTCCTTATCAAACAGATGCTTGGCCTCACTCCTAGCGTTCTCTCCTGAACAATGCCTTCTCCGGTTTTTTGTTTTTGTTTTTGGTTTTTTTTTTTGCATTGTGGACAGGCTGAGAAGTTTTCAGATCTTTAAGTCCTGCTTCTCTTTTGACTATAATTCTGTCTTCAAGTTCTCTCTCTCTTCTTGCATTTTATGAGCAGCAGTCAGGAGGAACTAAGCCGCTCCTTCAATATTTTGCTTAGAAATCTCCTCAGTTAAATATCCAGTTTCAGCACCTACCTTCCACAAAACACTAGAGCTCAAACACAATTCAGAGCCAAGTTCTTTGCCAGTTTATAACAAGGATCGCCTTTTCTCCATTGTCCTTTCATAGTAACATGTCCCTCCTTTCTATCTGAGAGCTCCTCAGAATGGCCTTTATGTAACTTCTGTATTACGTACCAGTATTCTGCTCGTGATTAGTTAGCTATTCTCTAAGAGGATGGAAGCTTCGTCTGTAACTCTCGTCTTTTCTTCCTGAGCTCTTAACAGAGTCACCTTTAAAGTTCTCTTCATGGAACTCTAAGCCTTTTCTAGCATGAGCTTAAAACACTTCCCATTATCCAGGTCCTCGGCCATTTGTACATTTTTAGGTATTTGTTACCGGAGCACTTCGCCCCCCCACCCCCCCTTCTCGGTACCAGTATCTGTATTGGGGTTTTCTAGAGACACAGAACCAATAGGATATATCTACATATATAGAAAGAGATTTATTTTGAGGGATGGGCTCACACAATTCTGGAGGCTGAGAAGTCCCATTGCCTGCTGTCTGCAAGCTGGAGACCCAGAAAAGATGATGGTGTTGTTCCAGTCCAAACCTGAAGGCCTGAGAGCCAGAGAAGCCAATGGGGTGAGTTCCAGTCTGAGTTCCAAGGCCCAAGAACTGGGGGAGAAGGTGTGGGGGTGTAAGTTCTCATCTGAGTCTGAAGGTCTGAGAATCAGGAGCACCAATGTCTAATAACAAGACAAGTTGGATGTACCCACTCCAGCAGAAAGGCAATTTGCCTTCGTCCATCTTTTCTTTTTTTTTTTTTTAAAGATCTTATTTATTTATTTGACAGAGAGAGAGACACAGCGAGAGAGGGAACACAAGCAGATAGAGAGGGAGAGGCACAGGGAGAAGCAGGCTTTCCGCTGAGCAGGGAGCCCGATGCGGGGCTCGATCCCAGGACCCTGGGATCATGACCTGAGTCCACGGCAGACACCAAACGATTGAGCCACCCAGGTGCCCCTCGTCCATCTTTTCTTGTACTTGGGCCATCAATAGATTGGATGATGCCCACCTGCACTGGGCAGGACGATCTTCTTTACTCAGTTCAGCAATTCAAATGCTCATCTCTTCTGGAAACACTCTCACAGACCCAGAAATAGTGTTTTATCAGACCTTGGCATTGACTTGGCCCAAACTGACATGTAAAGTTAACCATCACATACCAATAGTGTCCATTTTTATTTTAATGTTTCCTGCTCTTTCTGTACAAGAAGGGGAAAAGTGCTGTGTGCCCATTATTGTGAACATACCTAGTTGACTTTAGAGTCATCAAAGATCAGAAGTGACTGTTTAGGATGATGGGAAATGGGATGGCAGAGATAAAATTACGTTTTGTTCTGTTTGATTTACACACTTCAGCTTTATACGGACACTGGCTGTTACAGGGGTGTCTACCACATGGATGAGCTGGGAAGTAATGACATAAATTTATAATTCTGCCACTGAATAGAAAGGCTTAAAAAGTCCCATTGGTCAGTAAAGACAAGCTCCAGAAATGAAATTTTGGATAATTATTCTGATATTTTTCCCGGGAGGTTATCACGAGTGATTAGGTGTTTCACGTTGATTTTTGATAGTGATTTTTTTTTTTAAGTGCGAAGGCCATGTCTAAACAGATTCCAACACATTCGTACAGTGAAATACTACTCCAGCAATGAAAAAAAGCAAGTTACTAATACACATAGAAACATAGATGAATCGTAAGAGCATTTATGCTGAGACAAAGTTGTCTTACACAAAAGCATATGTACTATATGATTCTGTTTATATGGATTCTAGAACAGGCAAAACTGATCTTTGATTAAAAACTAATCACAAAAGTAGGGAGGGCTGGAGACAGGCTGGGAAGGGATATGAGGGAATTCTCGTTAGGAGATTGGGGTACAAGGGTGTGCACACTTTTCAACACTCCTCAAATGTGCTTATGATTTTATTTTATGTAAATTTTACCCAAAAATATAAACAAAATGATGATATACATGTTGAGGTGTTTAGGACTAAGTGTACTGATCTCTGTATTGACTTTGATTTGTAATCACCACCACAGTAAAAATGGATTGATGGATGCACAATAAGGCAAATGTAAAACCTTAATTATAGAATCTAGCTGGTAGTTATTCAAGTTCTCATTGTCCAGTTCTTCGCATTTTCCTGTAGGTTTGAGAATGTTATAATAAAATGTTAAGAATGTAATTTCAGGTGTACCTGGGTGGCTCAGTTGTTAAGCGTCTGCCTCTGGCTCAGGTTGTGATCCCAGGGTCCTGGGATCGAGCCCTGCATCGGGCTCCCTGTTCGTGGGGAACCTGCTTCTCCCTCTCCCCCTCCCCCTGCTTGTGTTTCCTCTCTTGCTCTCTCTCTGTCAGATAAATAAAAATTAAAAAAAAAAAGAATATAATTTCAGAAAAAAACTATTAATATAAAAAAACACAAAGGGCACAATGGTTAGTGTTTTTTGGTGATGCAATATTCTCTTAAACACTGAATATCCTTAGAGAAATCGAGCTACTTGTCAAAAGTAAATGAGAATTTATTCCATTACCTTTGCTCAAAATGTTGCATAAAAGAGATATTTAAAATGATAAACACACAAGGGTTTATGAATTTGAAATATGCCACATTGAATTGTTATGAGATTAAATTTATGATTAAAAAACTACTTAGTATCATGTTTTTGACTACACGTCATTTCATTTTCAATTTTTCCTTTTGTTAATCTCCATGAACTATCTTTAAGACATGGTAGGTTCTGAAATCCAAAGAGGGATAATAAGCAGGTGATAGAATTCAATTAAGAAGAAGGTACTATTTTAATGATATAAATTAACTTATAAGTATTATTGAAAATATTGATTTTTAGGGTACAAGTAACATCACAGCATTGCCTTTTCATACCCTGAGAATTACTGAAATTTGGAAAGACTGGAATATAACTCAAAATGCCCCTGACAGATTAGAGCATTTTATTTTTGTCAAAAGGACAAAATTCAATGGGAACTTGTATAAAAGTATACCCTTCAGGACCAAAATCAATAAATGGGGAAGGACCAGTTATGAATCTAGGATGTCAGCAATGACCATGTCAGCCTTGTTCACTGAATATTCACTGTCCTCTGTGCTATGATTGGATCCAGCTTTGGTACATATTTTTTTTTCTAAGTTTTTATGTAAATTCCAGTTAGTTAATGTATAGTGTACTATTAGTTTCAGTAGTAGAATTTTGTGATTTACCACTTAGATACAACCCCCCGTGCTCATCACAAGTGCCCTCCTTAATCCCCATCACCCATTTAACCCATCCCCCCACCCACCTCCCTTCCAGCAAACTTCTGTTCTCTGTAGTTAAGAGTCTGTTTGATAGGTATTTTTAAGTAATATGGAGAAATAAGTAAAGGTTTAAAGAGGAACAAGATGACTAAAATAATGAAAAACTGGTCCTAGGAGGAAAATCTGAGAGAAGAGGAATTTCTCTAAATGCTTCCAGATTGAAAAGGCTCAAGTTCCCCTTGTTTATTACCATTTTCAATTACATGAAGTGTTTTTATGGAGAGATTCTATGAAAAACGAACAAGGGAAATGGATTTAAGTTAAGAGATAGTTGAGTTGTACAAATGGAAGGATCTCTTGACTTCAAGGTTGATTAAACTCTGGAATAATTATCAAGTGATGCTGTGGATTCTGCATCCCTGGAGAATTATATAAACAAAATATAAATTCTGAGTGGATCTAGATTGACCTGCCAGAGGTTGGGGGCAAGCCCTGATGATCCTTGAGAGGACCTAACTGGGTCTACATTCCATTAATAATGTTTCACTCCACAGTAAGAGTTTTGAAACCGCTTGATACTAAATTATATTCTTTCTCTAAGGAATGGCAACTTTAAATTCGCTTCACTCAGAAATTCCCTGTGTTAATTTACAGCAGTGTGACTGTGGATAGCAATACCATATTGTATACTTGAAATTTGCTAAAGGGGTAAATATCAACTGTTCTCAACACACACACACACACACACACACACACACACACACACACACACACACACACAAAGAAAAGAAATCAATGATAATTATGTGAGGTGATGGATATGTCAATTAGCTTGATTGTGGTGGTGATTATTCCACAATGTAGAAATATTAGCAAAACATGAAGTTGAACACCGTAAATATAAATCATTTGTGTTCATGAATTATATCAGTAAAGCTAGAAACAAATCCCTGTATTGAATGATTCTTCTTTTCATTAGACTTGTCTCCTAGTAAATGACTATGTGTTGCTTTGGTGACAGTTTGTAATACTGTTCTTAGTTTCTCTACTTTATAATTATTTAAAAATAATTACAGTATAACCTGTCATTTTTCTCTTTAATGTTATAACATTATCATTAGGAGGACATTTTTAAATGTGAACCATTATGTTCACGAGTGTTTTCTGTCGGTGAGCGGGTCCCTACCTGAGCGTAAGTATGTTTCACATTCTTCGCTTTTTGATCTTGCCAGGTTATCATTCCATCATCTAGACCAGTTAGGGTGGAAAGAGATAAAAATGTCATCTTGGTGAACGATTTCTCCTCTTTCTGAAAGTCAATATGGCAAAAATCCTCTTGCATTTTCCACTGTATCCTCTATTTCTGGTTTCTTAATCTCGTTCCGTGGTTCACTTTTATTCTTCTCCTTCGCAGAGCAAAACTTGCTTCCTGTTGTGATGCTGCTCAAAACTTCATTGTTTCTCAGAATAACACTCCAGCCGGGACCAACATGAGCTATGAGGTGGAAAGCAAAAACGAAATCCTAATTAGAGAGAACATTTTTAATATGTTTCCAGTGGTGAGTAAAGATTTGTTGTGGTTGATTTGTGTCGCCATTGCAGGTGACTTTTCTCCCACGTTACACTGTAACTTACACTAATGGAGGAGTTAACTTAGAATTAAAATACCATATGTTGTTTTGATGTAAAAGATGGTGATAGTGGTCCCTTTTAAAAAGACAATTTTGAATGCAAGTGGCTCTGCAGGGAACGGTATTTATATCTTACATGATAAACTCTCCAAGTCCTTGAGTCTTCATGACTCATCCTTGCATGAGATGAGCTACTTGGGCTTTCTGCATAGTAATTACTGGGGCTTGGGAAGAGGACCATTTTTCACCTGGAATAAGATTCTTCCAGTTGTCAGTTTTGGTGACTGAATCAATTCCTTCACAAAGAGCTGTGGGTTTATGTAGCTAATCTTTGGGAAGTAAACTTGTTAAGAATTTGTGGTCAGTGGGGGCGCCTGGGTGGTGTAGTTGGTTAAGCATCTGACTCTTGGTTTCAGCTCAGGTCATGATCTCAGGGTCATGAGATCGAGCCCCGGATCAGGGGCTCAGTGCAGAGTCTGCTTCAGATTCTCTCTCCCTGTCCTTCTACCCCCCCCCCCCACTGTGCTTTGTCTCTCTAAAATAAATACATAAATCTTAAAACGAAAAAAAAAAGAATTTGTGGTCAGTGAACATAACCTCACGTTCAGGGATTTCTGTGCGGTGTGTTCATTGATGTATCCCAAGCTCCAGAACATTCCCCACTGCATATATGCATTCATTACATATTCATTAAATAAACTAATGAGTAATGATACAGTTTCATTATAAGAAGAAACTTCTTTAATATAAATCTAAACTTGGGGAGAATTTTTGTCATGAAGAACAGCCTATCGCTTATAAACGTACACCCTCAGTCATCTTTTCATGATTTGATTAAAAGCAATTAAGCTAAGTCAATATGGTCAAAAATGGGATGACCTTATATATGCAGTTTACCAACTGTAGACTATTCAGTTCTTGCAATTAATTCCCTTTTGTTGGACCTTTGACTTCTTTTAACTAATTTATTGGTCATGTAAGTTGTTACGGTTTTTCTTTTACTATTATAATTCAAAGGAAGACTAACTGGCTGAGAATGATTGCAAAATGAATAGAAAATGATACAGAAAAAATATTACAAATTTTCTGGAAGGAAAAGGGGACAAAAAATGATTCATAAAGCATTCTAAAAATGCCCTCATGATACATTGAAATTACCAATAATTGAAAAGTTAGTAAGTACAGAATATTTATATTCCCAAAGAAGTCCTGAGAGAGTTTCACAATGAACTTTCACCCTTGCAATTTTTTCTACTGTTTTCCTTGCTTTAGACTGATCAGAACAGAGGAGCAGCCGAGATTTTTTTTGGCTTCTAATTGGCACTTTGAAAAGAATAACCTAGGCTTGATAATTTTATATGCAATTAACAACAGCATCCATTTCCCAAATTTGCACTAATTTTTCAAAATTAGGGTGGGGGGCGGGGAGGTAATTCTGACTTCAGTAACAGTTGCAGAGCTAGGCCACTTTTCTGTGTTGCTTCAACACTCCCTTTCTGTGGAGGAGACATCTAAGGGAGCCGGCCTCCTTCCCTCCCTGCTTCCTGCATCCCCCTGTTCTGTTCTGCTAGAAAACTGTGGGGCACCAGCAAGCAGATCACAATAGATACTTTTAATGAATGTTATGAAGTCATTTCCTCCAAACACTTTGCTAAGTTACTTGAAAAGAAAACAAGGTTGGTTTTCCACCAGAGTGAGCAATGAGCAGGCCTTGCTCAACATAGCACATATCTTCCACTCTCTTAGGAGCTTTATTTTAAGAAACATTGGAGTTTGTAATTCAGAGGTTACTCTTACTGAACATGAGATCCCAAAGCATATGGGCTTTTCCTCCCAGTTGACCAAGAAACCAGAGAAAACATGTGTTATTTTGAGTGCTATTTTAATAGGAGACAAGTTTCCTTCAGTCATCTTTTCTGTTGTACCATTAAGAGTATATTTGCATTCTATCCAATCTGTAAAATTCAAAATTTATCGTGGCACCATTTAGTAAACACAGGTTGAAGACATCTTGAGCTAGAAGTACAGCAGACTTGAAATCACCTGAGGTATTTGGGAACCATTAACTTCAGAGCCCGGTCCTCTGCTAGGCATTGCAGATACAAAAAGAGAAAAAGGTACATAATTAACATTGTATTCATTGAATGTGAGAAGCTGTGTAACTGTAGGGAATAAGAGCATGGCCTCCTTCAGGGGTTTGAATCCCAGCTCTGACACTTGCTAGCCACTACTTAAACCCATGCTTTTATTTCCTGCCTGTAAAATGCTCATAAGGATCACATGTGTTAATAAGTCAGGCACTTGGAACAGCGTCTCTCGTCTAATAAGCACAATATGATTCTTAATGGTTAGAGACAAACCTAGGTGCTGAACCAGAGTTCTTTCTGCTTGTTTGGCATCTCCCAAATGAAGCACCTAACAGTCACAGATTCAGCAGTTCTTTGGGCTTCTCAGAACCACACTGGCCCTGAGGTGTTGCCATTGGTACTGGTAAACTGGCTTTGGGCAGTAGGCTGCCCTGATTTGTAGTGTTGGCCGATTTTAGTGGTGTTTGTACCCCTGGGGTGGCAGATTTAAATTTACCAGTGGCTTCCCGACAGTTCACAAAATTCCTGAATATTTACCCGCTGGCTCCCACACCCTGGTCCAGGTGGGTCCCAGCTCAACACTGGAGGTTTTTTTGCAGGGCAGGCCCTTGGGGCCAGCAAGCCTTTATTGAAACGCCACTGTGTACATTACAACATGCAAGGTCTACGGTGAAAGATGAGGGGAAGCTAAAAGTCATAAACACACTCTCTGCCCTTGAGGACCTCCACTTGAATTCTGAAGACGTAAGAGGTGGCTCAGGACGATGTCACTCTGGAGTCTGAGCTGGGCCCCCTTGGTGCTGCTCAGGGTCCTGTCATTATGTCAGGGAAAGAGACCAGCAAAGAAGTGCACCATTGAATTGAGAAGTTACGTTTCAGACTGGGAAGGACTTGGGAAAAGGGGGAAATCTTTTGGGGGTAGACAAGTCGGGTGCTTGGAGGAAATATAAAAGATTCAGGCCTTGGAAATTCATTTGAAATATGTCAGCACGGAGTTAGTAGGCATCCCTGCAGCTCTGTGGCCGGTCATTTTCAGAGATGACAGGCACAAATCTCATGTCATCACTGAGCCTGCAGGTCTAACTATTTAAGAAGCACAGGAAACTTTCACTAAATTACCTATTCATTTTATGCCCAAGAATAGAGGATTTCGTGATACTTTCTAATTGCTTTATTTCCTCTATTTTGCTGAAAACGTTCCTGTTTGTTGGAAGGGTCCAGTGTGGGATTTTGCCAGTCTAGTGCTATGTACTTAATTATATGATGTAAGATACATTAAGTTACATTTTATAAACAAATGTATTATATTTTAGATTATTACATGATAGGGTATGTGATACACTGTATATTCTTCTCAAGAGAAATGAAAGGCAGGATTACAGGATTTTTTTATCGTAAGTCATAAGTTGATCAACATGCTATGGCATCATTACTTCTGCTTTTTTTCCTTGCTGTTTTTCTTTCCTTAGCATGTATAAAAAACGTAGCTGCTCACATTAAGCTGGTGATGTTTGTGGTTCTGAAACTAAAGCTATTTTGTGATAGTTTTTCGCTTCCTCCTGCTAGTCTCAGCCTTTCATGGAGTACCCCTACAATCAGTGCGCAGTGGTTGGAAACGGGGGAATTCTGAATGAGTCTCTTTGCGGAGCTGAAATAGACAAATCCGACTTCGTTTTTAGGTAAGACCTGTCAGATTGGTTTCCTTGAAACCAAAGGTCAGTTGGATATTTCAAAGAGGTGCTGTAAAGATTCTCCATGTAAATTTCGACCTTTGAGCTGTGTTGCTTAAGTCTACAAATTATCTAGGTAGCCTTTCCTGAAGTGTTAAATGGATCACGAGTTCCTCAGAATGTTAATACCAGAAGGATAAAACTGCGATGGCCACATTGCAGAAACTCTGCTTGAAATCATGGTGAAAGAGGGTCTTCACTGCAGGACTTGTCAGAGCCTTCAGTGTATTGATATCATGGCTCCTTCAGAAGGACTGTGGAGAACATTTCCCAGGTTCACCTAGAACCTATATATATATATATATATTATATATATATATTATATATATATATATATTATTTATATAAAAAATATATATATATATATATATATAAACAGAGCATTTCAAGAAACTTTTGTTCTCAGATAATACTCGAGAAAATGCTGACCTAAGCCTTGTATTGCCATGCAACATCATTGTTTAGTTTTCAGGCTTGAAATTAAAAAAAGAAATTGTGGAGCTTCTAAATTCTGGTCTTTTAAAGTGTTTATATCTCAGTAGCAGCTAGCTTGCAAACACAGAAGCAAAAGTGGTTTGTTTCTCTGTGTGCCTGTGCTAATAAGCCAAGCTGCAGAGTTTCTGCGCTTTCCAAATATGATGGAAAGGTGATTCATCCCTGTGAGGATGGATTTCAATTGAAACGCACCTTTTTAAAAAGTAAGTTCAAAATCTGTTTCTTCCTATTTCAGGGGCACTGATTTCCTACATCAGAGGAGAGCCTTTGATCCTTATTGATTTAATGTTGCCCTTTATAGCAACTGAAAAGGAAGCAGGATTTTCAGTCAGTAGCTCCCCTCCCCAACCTACTGTTTTACTTGAATCTCATTTAAAGTTTTTATTGCTACAGGTAATGACAGAACAGTAGACCTGACAGTCCATCAGGTCATTGAATGTGCTCCTCATGATTCATGATAAAATGACCAATACCTGAATGATTTGGCCATTTAGTTAAAGCACTCGCTGTAAAAAAGCCATAATGAAGCTAAATAATTGTTCTTGTAATAGACTTCTTATAGACTTAAAATTCTCAAAACATCTGTGGGGAGTGGTATGGCTACGCATACATTTTACCTTATGGCAGACACACGAAATACAAGTTGAGGTTTAGGGGTGCCTGGGTGGCTCAGTCGTTAAGCATCTGCCTTCGGCTCAGGTCATGATCCCAGGGTCCTGGGATCGAGCCCCGCATCGAGCCCCGCATCGAGCCCCGCATCGGGCTCCCTGCTCAGCGGGGAGGCTGCTTCTCCCTCTCCCACTCCCCCTGCTTGTGTTCCTGTTCTCCCTGTCTCTCTGTCAAATAAATAAAATCTTAAAAAAAAGCTGAAGTTTAAAAAAGAAAAACAAACATCTTAGCAACTACTTAATTTTGAACTCTGCAGTAAGTATGCATATTTCTGGATCCTACCTTTGCTGCCGGGGATGTTTCCGAGACAGTGCTCCATTCAATACATGCCCTCTTTAATACCCATCACCAGGCTAACCCATCCCCCCGCCCCCTCCCCTCTAGAACCCTCAGTTTGTTTCTCAAGGTCCACAGTCTCTCATGGTTCGTCTCCCCCTCCAATTCCCCCCCCCTTCATTTGTCCTTTCACCTTTAATATTAAAAAAGAATTTGGGACTGTATTAGAAGGTAGATTTGTTATCACAGGATGTCCATTAATGAAGGCATTTCTGTATTATCTATGATTGATATTTATTTTTTGCAAGGTGACATATTTAATTATTTTCTGACATGTCTTTTTTATCAATGAGAGATGTACATGGTCCATTTGATTTTATGTTTCATAGAGTGTGGAATGCTGTTTCAACTTCAGTCCCTGCAGAACACATCACCTTGAAACAGCTTTCCTTAGGACACTCCCAGAGAAACTCCCTTTGTATGTATAGCTTTAAAGAAATGGTCTACTTGAAATTCTGTAAACAATACTTAGGGAGTCATAACCAACTTTCCCTTTTTTGTGAAAGGAATATAATTACTCAAAATTACAATTCTTAATTTGTTTTGAGTATTAAAAACAAATTAGTACTCAAAAGAGGAAGAGAACATTTATACGAAAACATCATTATAGGAACATTAGGGTTTTATTTATTAACAGCATAATTTGCTAGAAAAACTACCCATTTGGGAATCAGGAAATTTCAGGTTTGTTTGTGTTTTTTTTTTTTATTTTGTCTTTGCTTCTGGCAGATTCTGTAACCTTAAGTGCAATGCCCCCTTTTTTTTAAAATCTGTAAATTGATGATCATACCACTGTGGGAATATAATCAATAGAAACAATAATTTTAATAAAAGGATTATGAACTCTTCAGAAGCTAGGCAAGGTGGTTGTCATTTCTCATTTTGATATGTTTAGGGTCTTAATATTGAAAGCATTTATCAAATTTGTATATTTCATGCAATGTTGAAGTGCCAATTAAGAGTTCAGTACTCACTGAAGTTTTAAATGGAAATCAGATCAATTTAGAACTCCTGAACAGCCATGATTTTCTTCGATAAAATGACAGTAATCATATGTGTACATGTATGTGTATGTGCTTTTTTTTATAAGTTGCATTTTGAAAATACTTTTTTTTTCAAATTTCAGGTGTAACCTCCCCCCAATCACGGGAAACGTTAGTAAAGATGTTGGCAGTAAAACCAATGTTGTGACTGTAAATCCCAGTATCATAAAACTAAAGTAAGTACCTCCAACTTACATAACTGTTTGAGAACATTTGTTTTATTACTTAACATATTTCTTAGTTTGAACACCATCTTATTGCTGGAATGACTTGCAACACAGTTAGAATGATGTTTGGGGAAAAGATAGAAGAATATATTCATAATTTTTTACTTTCTCTCAAGGTTGTAGGTTATAAGAGGTATGACCTCTTTTTTTTTTTTTAAGAAAACCATCTTATTTTATTTTAAAGACCTCATTCTTTATTTTTTAAAGTAATCTCTACACCCAGTGTGGGGCTTGAACTTACAGCCCTGAAATCGAGTTGTATGCTCTACCACTGAGCTAGCCAGGCATACCAACCAATTGTACTTCTAATGTCGTAAGCTGAACATTACTAATCAAGTGAGAACTCATTTATTTCTTCATCTTTTTTAACAATAGTGAAGTTACTTTTGAGAATTTTCTTTCAGAATTTTAGCATTACTCTTTTATCTTGGGAGCAGTTTCTTGATAGAACAGTTTATTTAGAAACTTCAGAGAATGAGTCTTAGGCCAAAAAAAGAAAAAAAAAGTTTTTACTATGAATAGTTTATTACCAAAAACTAATTCCTATATTTCATTTTTCACAGTGTAGCCACTACAAAATGTTCCTGGTTAATAAAAATCCCATCCATAGTTTTACTCCATTGTTTTCATCAAAATTGACTAATAATCATTACTAATAAAGTACACGATATACTCATCTAGTTCTAGTATCTCTTAAGATAATGTGAGATATTGTACCTGCATCCCAAAAGTTTACTTTCTAAACACAATCATGCATATTAGTATATTTACTAAGGTATTATTTAAATCAAACACACAGAGCTATCACAATACATAAGGGAAATTTAAAATATATATGTGTGTGTGTGTGTGTATGAATATAGATATTTAGGTTCTTTATAGGAAACTTTTATTTTGTGATCACATATACAAAAAGATACACAGATCACCAGTGTACAGCTCAGTGAATTTTTTTAACGTATAGACATTTTAAGAGTGTCCTATGTTTGAGAAAACATCAGTCATTATTAAATTGGAAGGTATTTCTGTATCAAAAAGCTATCTTAGAGAAAAAATTACTGAGTTGGAAGATAAAATAATCTAAGAAATGTGTGTCCAGTAAGGATATAGCCCAGTAAGAAAATATAATATAGATGAAAGCCTTGGGACACCATGAAAGATCAATGAAGACCTAGCCTTTGATGTTTACAGGAGGCTTACTTGTACTTGAACTCTGAGTCCACTGCTTGTCTCTTATATACAACAGTGATATAAATAGTTCAATGGCTCGGCCAGTGGTAAATTCAGCCTTATGTAACCCAAACTGCTACTTTGCTTATAATGATGATGATGTGGTTGTTTTGTTTTGTTTTGTTTTGTTTTTTAATTTGGCAGATACGGGAACTTAAGGAAAAAGAAAGAAATATTTCTGGAGGACATTGCAACCTATGGAGACGCGTTCCTTCTTCTGCCAGCGTTTTCTTTCAGGGCCAACACGATTGCCTCTTTCAAAGTGTATGACACCCTAAAGGAGTCTCAAGCAAGACAGAAGGTTCTATTTTTCCATCCCAAGTACCTGAGAAATCTTGCCCTTTTCTGGAGAACTGAAGGTGTGACGGAGTTTCGCCTGTCCTCTGGCTTGATGATCACAAGTGTGGCAGTGGAACTGTGTGAGCACGTGAAGCTGTATGGATTTTGGCCCTTCTCTAGAACGGTTAAAGACACACCTGTCAGCCATCACTACTACGACAATAACTTACCTAAACGTGGTTTTCATGAGATGCCTAAGGAATATAGACGAATTCTCCAACTTCACTTGAAAGGAATCCTCAAATTACAATTTAGCAAATGTGAAATAGCTTAAGCATAGTTCTTTAAATGGTAATAGTTGTAATAGAATGCCGTAGGTGAGTAACGGTGTTTCCCAATGCTACAAGCATTGGGTGTAGGGCTGATAGGAAGAGCCCCAAAACTTGGTTTGATCAAAGCTCCCCACTGAGCTTGCAACCTCAGCAGCTCATGCAGTTGTCCTGATCTTCAGTTTTCCTCCCTGTAAAATGGGGACCCTGATATCTAACTCTATCTAATAATCTATGAAAACTCTTGGCAAAAGATTGGCGTGAGGTAGGGACTCCATGAATATTTCCTTGTTGCTCTCTAGAACTGCCGTTTCCACTCTCAGTAGACTGATAATAAAAGGCATGCTGTTTTGAAGACCCTTCCTGGAGAGAACTGCTGACTTGCCAGTTTTCACTGGGGTTCTTTTTCAAGCAGGCCTCTCTATTATCAATAATATCCTTCTCATCCTCCTTCCTGTCCTAAAGAGTGCATCTAAGAAATTACAGCAAACCCTTGGTGATTCAGGAATGAAATCCTCCTCTTTGGGTAGTAATGTGCCTGCTTCTGATTACCTTCACTAGGGTCATTAGCTGCAGTGATGTGTCCGGCTGGATTTAGGCCAATTGTTTTCCTCCTTTATTTATATTTTTAAATCATTCTTCATAATTTATATTAACTTCCTGCCTTCCTCTTAAGCCTTTTCCACTCCCAGTCACAGGAACTATTTTAAGAGCATGAAGAGTTACAATAGCCAGTTTTTCTTACCTGGTGTCTGTGGAGTCACATATTCAGTCTATTTTGTAAACAAATTATCCAACAGCTACTTCATGCCAGGCCCTGTAGCAATCTCTGTGAGAGGGACCTAAAGGTGACCAAGTCCTGCAGGAGGAAACGGACGTGCATATGACCAACTGTCGTTATGACAGCTATAAAGAAAGTACTATGAGGACCAGAGGCAGGAGTAATTCAATCTATTTCAGTGGCCTCTGTTTCGGAGAAGAGGTAATTGCCAAATAAAACCTAGAAAGTGAGTAAGATTTTAATAAATGAAGAAGATTCTAGGTAGAGGGAATATGATGGGGGGAAAAGCGGTCCCCTTGATTCTCAATCACCAAAATGAGGATATTTGAAGATAAATCATGGTCTTTGCCCCAAGAACTGTCACTTGAACAGAGGTTGTAGCACATGAGGATGGTGGCTTGGGCCCACCTCTGAAACGGGAGTCATCGTGACCTGATAAATTTCACAGGAAAACGGTAAGGATTAAAACACACCAAAACTTAATTCTCATAAAGAAAGGTATATATTTACATGAGAAATAGGACAAGTAATTTAAACATCAGTATCAAAGCTTAAGTTGTATTGAATATTACCATTTTCACACCACTCCCTTCATTATGATGATACCTGTTAATGTAGGTCATCCCTTCATCTACTGAATAAGTTCTTTGATGACTTAACTAAGTGACTACATTTCTACTTTGCCTGTTTGTCTTTGTACCATCATGAGGAGGGCAGAAATTGGGGTGGAGCCGACTTGTCAGCATGCTGAATTAATTACAAATAAAATTCTGAATTCTTACCTTAGCCAGATGATTGTTTTACTAAATGTCCCTTTTAAGACCATTCTGCTGTCAGTCACTTATTTTGGCAAAGTACCTCATTCCTTTCATTGTGGTTGATATTTTTTTATGCCATTCTTTGTTCACATTTTATTCTATCACAGATGAAACCTATTAGCTCCATAAATTGCTTAAAAGTTCATATATAAATATTTTCCAAAAGGAGCATGCTTTTAGTTACATGAAGTCTATTTATCTTTCTTTCTGTGCTAATGAGTAAGTGGCTGTTTTCTATTGCTTCTAATGGATTTAATTTGTTTTTAAAACTCTGCTAGCAGTATGAGTAATGTCTATCATGTTACTAATGGTGGATTATTAAAAATAGAACATTCTAATATTTTATAGTTAACAAAATGCTTCCCTTAAAATGTTTTCTGGGGAGTAGAACCTTAAACTTTTATTTTTGATGATATTGGAAATAGATGATTAAGGAGTAAAAGTTATAGAATATATTGAAATCAATCATTAAATAAATATACAATATGGAGATTTTATACATTGGTTTAATAAAAATTACATATGATTAGCACAGAACTTACTTAAGTTTTTCCCATATAACTTCCTCTTTTAACTTTGGAAATTTTCTCGGGAATATCAAAATAGAATCTTTAATGTCACCGACACAAATTTTGGAAGTATTCAAAATGGTATGTGTTGGTTCACAAACTTCTCGGGGGCTTCCCACGTGTAATCTAAAACTGGTCCCTATACACCGAACACAGCGAGAGACCAAAGAAAGAGGAAGACCACTCCAGATTTGGTAGGGGGTAATTTTAATAAGCAGGGGACCTTCCTCTTGGGTGGCTGTAAGACTAGTAGATTCCACATTTGTCTGGTAAACTTTAAAGTTTATGGAGAGGCCTTAACTGGGTTCAGATATGTATATTGTCCAGATGGTCGCAATACCACATCACTGTCTCAAAGCTATGTCCTTGGGGCAGCTTCTGGGATCAGGGAAGACAAATAGAATGCACTTGCCAGGGATGGGGGAGGGAAAAGGAGCCTCCAGTTGCTAGGGTCCAGCTCATGGATCAACCGGCTGTCATATCCTCTCGATGACCTCTCCCACACTGTGAGATCAAGAAGCAGTGTCCTAATAATACCCATGTTCCACTAAAAGTTCAATATAAAAAAAAAAGTTGTGGAGAAAATGGTAGGCCTTTCTACAAGAGACATAACTGAAGTTGGTTTTCTGCTAAACACTTGTACTGCCATCCTAAAAGCATGTTGAAATTTTGCAGCATTCCCAGCTAGGGTCACCTGTTAACCAAAAGTCTTTGGTTGAAAAGAACATGTGCATTCTTTGTGTCTCTTTCCCAAGTTGGTCCGTGACTGTTGTGAAATCTGTGGGAGGCCTCATTCACATCCTAACCTTTCCTCTTTGGCAGAGGATGACCTTCCCCATGTCCCATTAATGATGTGTCAATAATGTCCTTTTGTTCCAAAGGAGAACTTTTTAAACTTTGTAAAATACAACAGAACATACATTTTGATAATGTAACATATCAGCCATGTGAGTTATAAATCATAAGCCACAGTTCTTTTTGTTCTATAATGGTAAATTATTACAAGTTTTACACTAAGATCAAAACAAAAAGAAAAACTATGAACTCCATCATATAGATTTATAGATTATCCACCAAGTCTGACTGTGACACTCTCAACAATCTGTGGGCATAATGAGCATTGCTTAAATGTTGATGGATTGGATTTGATCTTCTGCTCTTAAACTTGAAGTACATCCATGGGCATTGAAAATAGAAAGTCTGAGTACTGCTGCTAGACAGTACGAAACTTTAATGGGGACTCCAGCTCATAGTACCACATATCATCAGTTTCTAGGGGAAATAATTGTTTGCTTGATTCCATTTTTTACTTGTTCAGCATCCCTGGGCAATGTAACCAAATAGCAAAATTCTAAAAGAATTTTCATCTAAATCTGAAGGTTAGGCAAAAATGTTCATGTAAGCACATAGCACTTGCTGCTGTGTCATCCCTGGAAAGAAGTCTATGAACAATCACATAGAGTTTAACATTACACAGTATAATAGTCCTTGAAGTCTCTGATTTTTTTCTCCTAACAAAAGGGAAAGGCACATAGATCATGACTCTCATGAAAGAAGATTTCCTTTTGCATGTAAATATGTGGGTTTTCAGCCAGGTAATCAGCCAAGGACTCTTTTTTTTTTTTTTTGGAGGACTTTCTAGGTATAGAATACTGAATTAACCCATAAATCAGACCTGTTTGAGGCTAGGTTTCTTCTTACAAAAAAATGTACCAGTTCAATACTACGTTATGTCATACACCCTAAATCATTCCATGAATTTCAGGAAGCTTTGGGAAAATTGGAAAATCTTAGAGATAAGAGATCTGCTCACATACTAAATAACTACCTTAGAAGTACTGTTAAGATGCAATGTGTAGCAATGGAATATTATGCAGCCATCAAAAGGAATGAGATCTTGCCATTTGCAACGACGTGGATGGAACTGGAGGGTGTTATGCTGAGTGAAATAAGTCAATCAGAGAAAGACATGTATCACATGACCTCACTGATATGAGGAATTCTTAATCTCAGGAAACAAACTGGGTGTTACTGGAGTGGTTGGGGGTGGGAGGGATGGGGTGGCTGGGTGATAGACATTGGGGAGGGTATGTGCTATGGTGAGCGCTGTGAATTGTGCAAGACTGTTGAATCACAGATCTGTACTTCTGAAACAAATAACGCAACATATTTTAAGAAAAAAGAAAAAGAAGAAGATAACAGGAGAGGAAGAAAAGGGGAGTATGTCAGAGGGGGAGACGAACCATGAGAGAGGATGGACTCTGAAAAACAAACTGAGGGTTCTAGAGGGGAGGGGGGTAGGGGGATGGGTTAGCCTGGTGGTGGGTATTGAGGAGGGCACGTTTTGCATGGAGCACTGGGTGTTATGAACAAACAATGAATCATGGAACACTGCACCAAAAACTAATGATGTAATATATGATGATTAACATAACAATAAAAAAATTAAAATTAAAAAAAAAAAAAGAATTCTCCCCTAAGTCTCAAAACCTTTATCTGACTGGACATCTCCACTTGGATGTCCTCTTTAAACTCAGTAATGTACAAAATTGGAAAAAAAAAAAAAAGATGCAATGTGTAGTATAGTTATGACATTCAAAACATTTTATTTTTGTAACATGACATGAAAATATATTGTTATGCCAGTAAACACTGAAGGAATTTCAGAGAGTCACATGAAGCATCTGAAGCACTTGACCTAATAAGATTATTTCTTTATTTTTGATTTTTAAAAACTCCACTGGGTAATTTCAAGGTTTCCTATTTGCATATGACTTCAGAAGGCTGACTCCATAGTGAAACTCACAATTCCTCTCCTGAAGATGGATGAACAGGAA